AGGCAAACCGGGGTCCCCAGGGCTTGAGGGTCTCCCTGGTTCCTCCTCTCCCGCTTCCCATGTCCCCAGAAGGCAACGCCGCATCCCACACCCCACCGGCCGCAGGTCCCGGTGGCACCGTCCCACCCCGGCTGCAAACGAGCGTCCCGGCTAACGAGGCTGGCCGGGACACGGCAGAGCAGGAGCCGAGACGCGTCCCACCAAACCCGCCGTGCCGGGCTGCTATCGCACGGCACAGCTGCTGTGGTCCCCGGCTTGCTGCCAGCGACCTCCTGCTTTCTCTGTCCACCCGTCCATCTGCCCATCTGTCCTCCCATCCTCCCATCTGTCTGTCCATCCGGCCATCCATCCATCCATCCACCCGTCCATTCTCCCATCCTCCCATCCATCCATCCCTCCACCCATCCATTCTTCTGTCCTCCCATCCATCCATCCATCCGTCCTCCTGTCCATCCATCTGTTGGTCCATCCATCCATCCGTCCATCCATCTATCTGTCCTCTCCTCCATCCATCCCTCCATCCGTCCATCTGTCCATCCGTCCATCCATCCCTCCATCCGTCCCTCCATCCATCCCTCCATCCTTCCATCCCTCCATCCGTCTGTCTGTCTATCCATCCCTCCATCCCTCCATCCCTCCATCCGTCCATCCATCCCTCCATCTGTCCGTCCATCCATCTGTCCATCCATCCATCTGTCCTCTCCTCCATCCATCCATCCATCCATCCATCCATCCATCCATCCATCCATCCCTGCACCCATCCATCCGTCCATCTGTCCGTCCATCCGTCCCTTTGCATCCCAGCCCTCGAGCCTCCCCCAGGCTGTGCTTGTGCCGTGGGGCTATCCTGGGCTGTGGGGCAGGGCATGGGGCACCCCACTCTGCTCAAGCAGTGCCCCCAGCCCACGGGGGGGTACAGCAACCCCACCCCCCCGAGCCCACGGAGGGTACAGCAACCCCACCCCCCCGAGCCCACGGAGGGTACAGCAACCCCCCCCAGCCCGCGGGGGGGCCGCAGCCTCACCCGCTGGAGTGTTTTTCAGAAAGACGGGTCAAGCCAAAGGCCGGGAGGCGCAAAGTGCCTCTTCCCCTCGCTCCTGCTAATGGATTCGCGGCTGCGAATTCCTCTCCCGCCTCTCGGGAGAGCCGGCCCTGCCCCCCCCGGCCCCGCTCGGCCCCCCGCTGCCCCCCCAGCTCGGGGTGCTGGGGATCCCACAGCTGCTGCTGTGCCCGGTGCCTCGCCGGGACCCCCGGCCCCCAGTGCAGCTGTGGGGCTGGGAGAGGCTGTGGCATCACCAGCGTGGGGGGGAAGGTGGGGGCACGGCACGCACCGGCACTTGGTCCCAGCCTGGCGTCTGGGGCCGAGCGATGGGGGGGGGGGGGAGGCGAGGGGGCAAACCACGGCTTCTTCTGAAATAATTCAAGTACTTGGCCGCGGTCATGGTGGGCAGGAAAAAAAAAAAAAAAACAAACAAACATGGAAATGAGCGGTTTCGCCTTGAAAAGCGCAGGAGCCGCGTGCCAGGGTGCTGGATCGAGGTGGGTCCAGCTCCAGGGAGGGGAAAACCCACAGAGAACGAGCCAGCACCCCCACGGGTGCCGGTTGGGCCCCACCGTGCCAGCCCTCGGTCCTTGCCCTCGGTCACCCCTCGAGGCTGCTCCCCCAGCCCAGCAAACTGTCTCCCATGGGTGCAGGAAGGAGCAGCAGCAGGAGCCTGTGCCCACAGGACACCCCCACCCCGGGAGGGTGGGACCGGCCCCCCCGATGTGACAAAAACCAGCCCTCGGGTCCCTGTAGCCCCCCTCCCCGTCACCCAGTGCCCCTCCTGGCGCCAAGGGCTGGCTCTCACCCAGTGGAAACTGGGGAGAAGTCACCCAGGGGTGACCCGGGGGAGGGCAGAGCTCAGCCGTGCCGGGAGGGTGCGGCGGGGACCGCGCCGGCCCGGAGCCACCCGGTTTGGGGACGAGGGAGGTGACAGCAAAGCCCCTTCCAGCCGGGAGCGAAGCGTCAAGGTCACGGCGAACGCCCTCGATGCCCCTGAGCCCGCTGTGCTGGGGGCTGGGGGCTGGGGGGGGGGGGGACAGGGGCGGGCAGAGCTGCTGGCACCCATGGGTGCAGCGCAGGGGAGGCCGGCCCGGTGTGGTGTGGCAGGACAGACACACGGCCGTGCCCTCGGCGGGGGGGGGGGGCCGCAGGGGCTGGAGGGGCACCCAGTGCACCCCAGCATCGCTGCGGGATCGGCCGCAGCCCACAGACATCCCCCCCCCCCCCCCCCGGGGATGGGGGGGGGGGGGGGTTTGACACATCTTCCCCAGCCCCTGCAGCTGCGGGGGTGACACGACAGCCCCCCGCGCTCCCCCCGAGGGGCTCGGCAGCGAAGGCGGGACCCGTCCCTGGAAGGGGGGGGCACAGGGGATGGAGGGCCACCAGCACCCACCCGTGGCCCTGCCTGCCCCACTGCCACCCACCCCAGTCACCCCTGTCTGCCCCACTGCCACCCACCTGTCCGTGCCACCCATCCCTGCCACCCCTGTCTGCCCCACTGCCACCCACACGTCCCTGTCACCCATCTGCCCCACTGCCACCCATTCCTGTCACCCATCTGCCCCACTGCCCCCCATCCCTGTCACCCATCTGCCCCAGTACTACCCACCCCTGTCACCCATTTGTCCCACTACCACCCACCCGTCCCTGTCACCCATCCGCCCCAGCGCCACCCCGGGGAACCCACCACAGCCCCCCAGCTCGGGGACAGAGGGGTGCGGTGCCCCCCCCGCACTCACTCAGCCTGGGGCTGCCGGTGCCGTCGCGGGTGAGGGTCGCGGCCAGGGCCTGTTCCCGAGCGGCGGGGAGCGCTGCGGCGGCCATGGCCGTGACCGTGACCGTGACCGTGACCGTGGCCGTGACCGTGGCCGGGGCCGGCCGTGCTCCCCGCTCAGCCTTTGTACCCCCCCGGCCCGGCCCCAACCGCGCCCGCCCCGCCCGCTGCGCCGTGTTGGCTGTAAACAGCGGGACCGCCCCCCCCACCCCCCCACCCCCGCAGCCCGTCACCGGGGCGTCGGGGCGGTGGAGGGAGGGGGAAAGGGGGGAAAACCTAAAGGTAGTGGGTAAGGGTAGGGGTGGGGTGGGATTGGGGAGGGGAGGGGGGGTGGGAGAGGTGGGGATGGAGGTGGAAGGGGTGGGATTAGGATGGAGATGGGGTGGGGGGTGGGATTAGGATGGGGAGGGATTGGGGTGGGATTAGGGTGGGGATGGAGGTGGAGGGGGGTTGGGTTAGGATGGGGATGGGGTGGGATTGGGGTGAGGGGGGGTGGAGAGGGGGGTGGGGGTGGGATTAGGGCAGGAATGGGGTGGGATTGGGGTGCAGATGGGTGTAGGGGTGGGTATAGGGGTAGGGGTGGGGGTACCAGGGGGGTGAGGGCAGGGTTGGGGTAAAGGTGAAGTTTGGGGCAGCATTAGGGGCAGGGGGAGGGGTGGGGCTGGTTGGGGGGGGCGGGCTGGGGTAAGGTTGGGGTTATGAGTAGGGGTGAGGGGTCTGCGCCCCCCCCACCCCACCTCCTCCCTGCCACAGGCTGTGGGTGCCGGTGCGGGGGGGGGGGCTGCTGTGGGGTGGTTGTAGAGTAACTGGGCTGGGGCCGGTGCACAGGGCAGCCCGGGCCTGCTGGGGGGGGGGGGGGGGGGGACGACAAGGAGGGTGAGGGGGTGCTGGGGGTGTCTCCAAGGGTGCACGCTCGGGGGGGGCTCTGGCGATGCGCGGAGGTCGGGGCGAGCAGGGCTTCAAAACATCACCCACGGGTCCTGGAGGCAACGGAGGAGGAGGAGGAGGAGGAGAGGAGGAGGCAGGACATAACTTTTATTAACCATTAGAAACCATAAGAAACCAGATTATTTGTCAAAGTTTTACATCCAGTACTTTTTTTAAAAAAAAACCCAACTTTCTCTTTTTCTCACTGATATACGTCAGGAGGAGTGGGGTGGGCTGGGGGTGAGCCGGCTTCCCCCCAGGACCTTCCTGCCCCCCCCGGGGCAGCTTCGCTGGGGTTGTTTCCTTTGAGAGGAGAGACTTTGGAGACGCAGCAGCTTTGGGTCAGATTTGGGGCCTTTTGGGAAAGCAGCATTTGGGTTTCGATTTGCGGGACAGGCAGCCCGTGGCCTCCCTGCCTCGCCTTCCACCCCTCCCTCTGGCCACTGAGTCGTGGGAGGAGGATGCAGGAGACCCCCAAGGATGCCCCAAGCTGGGCAAACACACCGGGGCAAACAGCCCCCCAAAAACCTCCCAGGCTTTGGGGGCTCTCTTGAAAATACAATTGGACCTTGCTTTCTCTGAAATGCCCCAAAACTTGTGAAGGTGCAAGCGTGGGGGGGTCACTCCTCCATCAAACCAGACCGAGTTTCCTCCCAGTGACCCAAGGTGGGAGGAACTGGGGTCCTTGGGAAATTCCTGGGGAAAAGAGGGAAAAACCTGTCCCGGGGAGGTTTGCAGGCAGGATTCCCCCACCTCGGCCCGGCTCTGCTCGCTGTCTTCAAACACCACGTTTGCAGGCCAGGGAAGGGCAAAGAACGGCGATATAAATATAAATGAAGTGGTGAGGGGAAGGGAGAAGGTGGCTGTCCTGTCAAAAATCCCAAACCTCAATCCAACGCGGCATCGGGGTGTCGGGGTTTGAGCACCCCAGGGCACCGGGGGGATCCGGCAAATGCCACATTTAGGGAGAGGTGGGGAGGGGTTGGCAGCGAGCTGCGGTCTGAGCCCCTCACCGTCAGCCAAACTCTGTCCCTGCTTTCTGCATCCCCGGGCAAACCCTGCCTCAGTTTCCCCACTTGCGGCCGGTGGCGGGGGGGGGGGGTGCCGACCCCTCCTGAGCTCTGCAGAGCCACACGAGCCCCAAGGGCTCGCTCCCATAAAGTGCTCCAGACGCGAGGTGATCGATAAACACCATTTCACAGAAACACTTGATTTAAAGGAAAAAAAAAAAAAAAAATAAAAATCACCAAAAGCTTTTCATAAACTCATTTATTTTAAATATTTCCCTGCAAAATCCTGGGACCACGTGGGCTAGCAGCTGTGTCCCCCATAGGGACCGGTCCCTACGGAGCAGCAGCCTGGGTGGGGGGGGTGCAGCGATGCTCAGCCCGGGCCAGCCTGGGGGGCTGCTCGGGGTAGGTAATTATTGTTATTATAGATGAAACTGCAGTGGAGGGATGAAGGAGCCCCCCCCGGTTTGTGTGGGGGTGGCCCCATGGCAGCTCCTGGGTGCTGGGAGGGGGCTCAGGGCATCACCCCACTCCTGCCACAGCCATGTCCCTGCAGGGTGTCTGGCCAGGGCTGTGCCACCCCCGGAGCACCCAGCCAGGGTGCTGCCACCCCCGGAGCACCCAGCCAGGGTGCTGCCACCCCCGGAGCACCCAGCCAGTGTGCTGCCACCCCCAGAGCACCCAGCCAGGGTGCTGCCACCCCCGGAGCACCCAGCCAGGGTGCTGCCACCCCCAGAGCACCCATCCAGGGTGCTGCCACCCCCGGAGCACCCAGCCAGGGTGCTGCCACCCCCGGAGCACCCAGCCAGGGTGCTGCCACCCCTGGAGCACCCAGCCAGGGTGCTGCCACCCCGGAGCACCCAGCCAGGGTGCTGCCACCCTGGAGCACCCAGCCAAGGTGCTGCCACCCCCAGAGCACCCAGCCAGGGTGCTGCCACCCTGGAGCACCCAGCCAAGGTGCTGCCACCCCCAGAGCACCCAGCCAGGGTGCTGCCACCCTGGAGCACCCAGCCAGGGTGCTGCCACCCCCGGAGCACCCAGCCAGGGTGCTGCCACCCCCGGAGCACCCAGCCAGGGTGCTGCCACCCTGGAGCACCCAGCCAAGGTGCTGCCACCCCCAGAGCACCCAGCCAGGGTGCTGCCACCCCCAGAGCACCCAGCCAGGGTGCTGCCACCCCGGAGCACCCGGCCAGGGTGCTGCCACCCCCGGAGCACCCAGCCAGGGTGCTGCCACCCCCAGAGCACCCAGCCAGGGCGATGCTCACACCACAGAAGGGCCAGACTCTGCCCACCACAGACCTCCCTCAGCAGACACCGGCGTGGGGGGGGGGGGGGGGGGGGGGGGCTTCCCCTTTCCCCAAGGACCACCTCATGCGTTGCCCCTCTCGGTTTTGCCACTGGCGGGGCTCCAAGCCCACCACCAACCCCCACGGAGCTCGCCCCCACCATGCCTGAGAACGGCCCCGGCACCGCACACCCGAGGCCGAATCCTGCCCGGCGGGAAGCCATCGTCACCCTCGATCAGGGTGCTGAGGTGGGGAAGAGCAGCTGAGGCTGCCCGAGGGGCAGGCGGCGGGTGCTCAGCACCTCTCAGGGCTGCACCCTGGTTCTGCCAGGTGATGGGAGCAAATTGCTGGGTGCTGGTACTGCTCAGCGCTCAGGATGGGGCTCACTGCAGTGCCAGAGCTGAGTACCCAGCACCCCAGGACGGGGCTGGGGGTGCTTTGGGGCTCCTGCCGATGGCAAAGAGCCCCCACGGCCCGGCCTGACCCAGAGGGGCAGATCCCAGTGTCACACGTGCCCACGCGTCTGCACCCCCCTCGGTGGGGGAGCAGGATGGCAGCCTGGCCCCAACCCACCAGGGTCCCCCCCCGGGAGGGTCAGAGGCTCCTCCAGTGTCCCCCGGGGGGTTGCGGGGGTGGGACAGCACCAAAACAGGGGCTGGGAGGGTGGTTTGGCTCCGCGATCAGTCGGGGCAGCTGCTTGCTCCCGAGCGCGGGGACCGCCGGCGCAGGGGGGGCTGGAGACATCCCCGGCACCATCGGTCCCCCACAAACCTCCCCCAGCCCCGGGCTGGGAGGGGACAAGCCCCCCATGGGAGCAGTGTTCCCCACTGGCACAGGGGACCTCAATCCCCCCCCCAGCCACCGGGATGCTCCGAGACAACCTCAGCAGGTGGGGAAACTGAGGCCCGACGCTTGCCCACGGACACCACGGCCAGGCAGGGCCAGAGCCCGGCGCCAAAAAACCACAGGGCACCAGTAACCACCCCCCCGCCCCCAGCATCCAACCCACTCCACCCCCCCGGAGCTGCTCCTCTCCCAGCACAGACCACGGCATCATCTTCCAGCCCCTGAACGGGCGATATCTGGAGGGGGGGGGACGTGGCCCTGGCAGATCCAGCGGCATTGGCGAGGGAAGGGGCAGCGCCGGTGACACGGGACACCCAGGGACATTCCACCCCCCCCCCCCCCAGGCATAACCGGGTTCAGCATCAGCAGGGTGGCATCCCCGGGCAGAGCAGGGTGTGCGGGGAGGGGGCCGGGCGTGCACGCTCACACACGTGTGAGCACACTCGCACGCACACCCGGCCGGGCGGTAAACGGGCTTCCACACCCCACTTGCCAAAGGGCAGCTTGCGTGGGGGGCACAGGGGGTGGCGAGGCGGGGTGGGGGGTGGGGGTGGGCAGGGGGGAGAGCTTTTGACACTCATTTTTGATTTAAGGGCTCGGTTTCTTGCTGGGTATAGAATTGTCTTTCCTTTCCAGCCGTGTGTAAGGCTCAAAAGCAGAAGTGCCCAGTCCGTAAGCGCCCGGGAGGTCGTGCAGGCTGCCCAGGAGTGGCCCCCCAAAGCACAGCGGGGTGGCCGGCAGCCTGGGCGAGGAGGAGGAGGAGGAGGAAGAGGCGAGAGAAGGGACCTGCAGGCTGAAGGCTCCCGGCCCCGGGGGGCTGCTCCCGCCGCCGAGCCCGGGGGAGGTGGTTCCCGGGGTGGCCAAGCCGGATCCGTTGCCCGTGGGAGCGCCGATGGGGTTGGAGGTGGGAGAGAGGAGGCTGGGGGGGGCCGGGACGGAGAGGAGCCGGCCTTGCTCCAGCAGCCGGAGGATGTTGCAGGTGGCGAAGGACTCGGAGGTGGCGGTGGAGCGTTTCTCAGAGTCCCTGCTCTGGTCCTTCTTCTGCTTGGTGCGTCGGTTCTGGAACCAGACCTTGACCTGAGTTGGGGGGGAGCAGAGGGACGGGGGCGGGGGGGACAGAAAGGCACGGACGGAAAGAGAGCGCGGGGGGGCCGGGGGAAGAGAGGTGAGAACCAGGAGAGAGTGAGAGATACGAGAGAGAGAGAGAGACGTATTAAAAAAAAACACCCAAGCGAAATCCACCCCCTGCCACAGGGACTGCGGAGAAGTCGCTCCCGCCTGCCGCTTCCAGGGAAACGGCAAATTCCTGCGGGTGCCAGGAGGGAGCAGGATGGGAGCCCAGGGATGGGAGCCCGGAGCCACGAGCCCAGGGATGGGAGCCTGGAGCCAGGAGCTCAGAAATGGGAGCCCAGGAATGGGAGCCCGGGAATGGGAGCCTGGAGCCAGGAGCCCAGGGATGGAAGCCCGGGCATGGGAGCCTGGAGCCAGGAGCTCAGAAATGGGAGCCCGGGAACCGGAGCCCGGGGATGGGAGCCTGGAGCCAGGAGCCCGGGGATGGGAGCCCAGGAATGGGAGCCTGGGAATGGGAGCCTGGGGATGGGAGCCTGGAGCCAGGAGCTCAGAAATGGGAGCCCGGGAACAGGAGCCTGGGAATGGGAGCCCAGGAATGAGAGCCTGGAGCCACGAGCCCGGGGATGGGAGCCTGGAGCCAAGAGCTCAGAAATGAGAGCCCAGGAATGGGAGCCCGGGAATGGGAGCCCGGGAATGGGAGCCCGGGAATGGGAGCCTGGAGCCACAAGCCCAAGAATGGGAGCCCAGGAATGGGAGCCCAGGAATGGGAGCCTGGAGCCACGAGCCCAGAGATGGGATCCCGGGAATGGGAGCCTGGAGCCAGGAGCCCGGGGATGGGAGCCTGGGAATGGGAGCCCAGAGCCATAAGCCCGGGGCTGAGCCACCCTGGCTCTGCCCTGCGCTGGCTCTCTGGGGGATGCTGAGCTATGGGACATGTTGGCTTCTCCTCTGTGATGCTCATCAAAGCCAAGTTTGTGTCCCCACCTGCAAACCCTTCCCTCGCCGGGCCAAGACGTGGGGCAGGGCGGAGGGTCCCTGGCTTTGCCACGGCTCAGGGGAACACGTTAGGGGACAGGATGGCTTCTGGTGGCCCTGGATCTCTGGGCGCAGGCCCGCTTCTGTGCCCGAACCCCGCTGGGGACATGCCCACCCCAACAGTAAGGAGCGAGTCTGGGCTGAGGCCCCAGGGGAACCCCCCCACACCCAAAACTTCCCCTGACTCACCCGAGTGGGACATGGACCCAGTCCCCAGCCCGCAGCTCCCATCCCCCTGCAGCTGCCCCCGCACCCCCTAATCTCTCCCCTGGGAGGGCAGCCCCCCCTCTACATCCCCCCCCCACAGGCTTCTGTCCCTCCCTGGCAGAGCAGAGGGGTAGGAGAGGCAGACAGAGAGACAGAGAGAGGCGTGAGGGACAGACAGACGGATGGAGATGGAGGTGAGGGAAGGAGACGGATGGGAAGACACTCGGATTAGAGGGTGGCGGACGGGAGCGGACGAGTGGGGCGCTGGCGGGACCCCGGGGGCAAACCCCAGCCCATCGGCACAGGCTTTGTCCCCGCCTGGCTCCGGAGCCAGCGGGTCTCAAACTCATCCGAGTCATCGGAAACTCACTGGGGCAGGACAGTCGCTCACTGACACAGCCCTCACGCGTCCCCCGGCACAATAGACCCACAGTACAGAGCTAATGGAGCGTGGGGGTGGAGGAGGTGTCAGCCCCCCCACCACCACCACCACCAAACCCCACCGCCCCGGCCCCTTTCCAGGGACATAATAGTGGAGCTGACGCCTGGGCGAAGCCGGCCGGAGGCTGGGGGTGCTCGGGGGGAGGAGCGGCAGGAGCTGCCGCCGAGCGATGGGGGGACACCAGGACCACGGGGCTGAGCTAATGACCCCCCCAGCCAAAAGCTGCTGGGACCACGGGCCACTGCCAGCCCACGTCCTGACCCCCCCCACCCACAGAGTTCCACGGGGAAGCTCTAGAGAACATCCCATGCACGCCTTGGCCCCGCACGGGGACCCCCGCTGCCACCGGGACCGTTGGGCTCGCATCACCCCCCAGCCGGGTCCCCAGGGCTGGTGTCCCCCCCTCCCCGTCCCCATCGGTCCCACCACGCCAGCGAGCAGGATGGGTTTGGGCAGGTCCCACGTCCCCGGGTACGGTGACCTGAGGCAGAATTAGCAGCCCACCGGCTTTTCTGGCAGGGACCACCCCGAGGTGCCGAGTTCTGGGGGGTGCAGAGCCCCAGAGCGCAGGCGGCGGGGCCGAGAGGGACTCACGCCGCCCCGCGATCCCGTGTCATTACTGACACCTTAACGAGGGCCCGGTGTGAGTCCATGCAGAAACGCACAGCCCCGGCCCTCTCCGCTCAAAGCATCCCCCAGCCACCCAACTCTGGAAGTGCCAGAGCTCACCAAAAAAAAAAAAAAAACTCAAAACCCAACACCACCACCCACGGGTGAGGTTTGGCATCTCCTGACCTTTTCTGGGTGCAGCAGCCCAGTCCCTGCCCCGGCACGGCTCAGCTTCACCCCTGAGCCCCAAACCAGGGTGCTCCAGAGCCCCGCTGCCATAAACCCAACCCAAATCCCACTTCCTTCAGCCCAACATCTGCCTAAGCCCGCTGCCGAGGTTCCGGGGCTGGGAACCCACCGCCAGCTTTCCTCCCCTTCTCTCCCCGGTGTCTGCACCCCCCCAATTTGAGCGCATCGCCTCCAGGTCCCCTGAGATGTCAGCGGGTCTCAGAGACCCACCGAGGCTCCACAGGGATTTCACGGAATCATTGAATCACTGAATCGTTGAGGTTGGAAAAGACCTTTAAGATCTTTGAGGCCAATCGTTAAACGATCACTGTCAAGTCCACCACTAAACCATAGAATCACAGGCCGGTTTGGGTTGGAAGGGACCTTAAAGACCATCTAAACCGGGCACCGGCCGTGGGGAGCCTGACACGAGGACGAGGAGACACCAGGCGTGGTCAGCAGGTAGCGGCTGGAAAGCGGAGCCAGGGAGGAGGCAGAGCCTCTTTGGGCAGCACAGACAGCGTTAGTCCCCGCCGCAGGGCACCCCGGGAGCCAAACTGGAAGCGGGCTGAAGAAGGGACTCAAAAAAAAATTAAAAAAAAAAAATCCTTGCAGGAGACCAGATCCATCACGAAGTAACGTGATGATCCGAGTCCCTCCTCGTGGTGAGCGCTTCCCGAGATGCCGGCGGCTGGGGAGTCGTGGCGAGGACAGGACCACTTCACACCCCGAGTATTGTTTTCTCTACTCATCCACCACCGGCCACCAGTAGAGACAAGCTCCTCAGCCCTGGTGCCCCCTAAGGCCAGCTCTTACGTTCTGGTTGTCTTCTACAGGTTGCACAAAGCAAACCCAGCTCAATAAAAACAAAGGGCCCTTGTCAGGGTCTCCAGTCTTTGATTCCCCCTCCACCTCCCCACGGGAGCTCATTTTTCTCAGGAGTTTTGGCTTTTGTTCTGTGCTGCTGCTTCTCCTTGGCCAGCTGGGGAGGAACGTGCCAGGGGCAGCGGTCATCTGGTCGGGTATGATGAAGAATACCACCAATTAACAGCCATACAGATGGGCGAGGCCAATAAATAGATCGATATGAATTGAAGCGGATATTGATGTGCAGGAATTCCTGGTGCTGAAACCAGTTCCACACCGCGGGGGACAGGAGGGGGGGGGACGCTAAAGGACGGGAGGGAAAAAGGGTGGAGGTGACACCGGCCTCAAACGTCCCAACACGGGGTTCAGCTGGGGAAGGGTGCCAATATGGTTTGCAGGGGAGGAGGAACCCAACTGGGAGACCAGCCCAGCACCTCCGCACTCCCAGTTGGACATCCTCTGCTCTCACCCCTTCGCCAGGGCTGGCTGATGCCCTCGGTGATGACCGCGCCTCCGTTTACAGGTAGAGTTAGAAGGTTTCTCCCCGCCTCCGTTCTACATCTGATCCTCTTGCAGGAGGTTCTCCCGTTCTCGACCCACCTCTGCGGTTCCTCTCTGCGCCCATCACACTGGAACACCAAGACCCAAGCTGAAGGTGCTGTGCTAAATACGGTTTCCTCACGCCTCGTACACTGACACGAGCTCTTCCCCCTCTGCACCGGTGACGTATCGGATGAGCAGGATCACGTTTGCCTTCGTGGCTAAAGCGCGTCTACAGCTTGTCATTAATTAGCAGATCCATGTCCTTTTCATCCTCCATTATGATCAAGCCCTGAGTTCCTATCACTGGGGATGTAAATAAGCTCAGCCAGATGCAGTCCTTGACGAGTCCATGAGTAATTTCCCTCCAGCCTTGATCCTCTGTTTTTCAGCAACATCCTCCACCATCTCCCCTCACCCACACCTTCCCCTCCACACGGCAAGTTCGCTACTTGCCTTTTGCTCCAGTTCCATCCACAACTCCCCATCAGCCACCCCAGCAAGCGCTTTGCCAAAGTCTGCCTTCGTGAGGCCGGCTTCATTCTCTACAAAAGCGGCTTTTCTTCCTTGTCCGAGTTACTGGGTGAACTGGTGCGTGCCTGTGACGTGGCGATGACTCCCTTCCCAGTCTGGCAGGGAGGGGGGGCAGGGAGGACCATGCTGGCACATCCTCGGCGGGCACCACACCTCCGGCGTCTACGGAGGAGGGAAGGTAGGGTAGCCCGCTGTGCAGTATTTTGTTTCTCAGTTCAGTGAGCTACGGTTAATAACCGAAGGGCTGCGGGAGGAAACCAGCCACCTCTAGCTCTCCTGCCAGACTGGGGGGGCGAAGAAGAAAGCGAGAGCGAGGACACCCTTTCCCTAGGAATGGAGAGAAAGGCCAGCTCCCAGATGCGCCACTCTGGGGGACACCCGGGATGCTCGGATGGGGAGGGCACGGCGGGGAGGGAGAAGCCTCCCACGGCTCCGGAGCACCCCCAGGACGCGCCCACGGCTCCCACAGCTGCCACCAGCCCCTTCCCTGGGGCTGTGGGGTCCAGGACCGCACGCGGCAGGCCAGTGGGGCCAAGCCTGGACG